CTTGGCTTCAGCAGTCTTCTTCTCTGTTGTAGACATCTCCAGTTCCCGGGAGCAGACGGCAGAGTAAGAAAGCGCGACGGAGACGTCGAACACCCGCGCGGCCGACGGCAGCCTTCCTAAGCTCCGCTGCTAGACGAGCTTCCTCAGATTGACGTCCGGCTGCTTGCTCAGACTCAGAGTGACGGGAGCTTCAGACTTTTGAGCCCGAAACCTTGATTGGATCAAGACACGGGCGCGATCTCTGATCTATTTCGTTGCTTATTCGCGAGTCAGGTGAAGATTCCTTAATTTGATTCTTAATTTTCCCTTCAGAGCACGAACTTGGGAAGCCTAGGGTTCTATCCTACGGAATTCCAGAAGAATGTAGATTAGTGGTTGATTGATTAGTTGCAGTTGCGTTTCTGAAATCTGACAACCAGCTGCTTCAGTATCTAGATCGGTTTAGCTAATGAATTGAGGAGGATCTATGTAATTTCTCCTATTAACTACTTCAAAACTCCTACCATCACTCCATATGTCCACGTTCTGTGGATAGCATGAGAAACATGCCACATTCCTTTGACTAACAGTGGATTAGTTGGGAGTTGCTTGCAGGAGACAGACGTTAGGGATCTAATAGGTTCAAGGCTGAATTGTGATGGACAAGGGAAAAGCAATCATGGGTTCTGGCCGGAGATGGGCTGTGGATTTCAGCGATAATTCCCTAGCCCCTTCCTCACGTGACATCCCAGATCCTCCGGGTTTCTCCCGTGGCTCCCAAGAACAGGTTTCTTTGTTTCTTCCTTTGTTTCCAGTACTATGCCAGTTCTATGTTCCAGTGCCTTGTTGATATTGGTGGATCGGTTTCAGGACGATTCTACTGTTACCAAGCAAAAGAAGGACGCAGAAGCTAATTGGAAGGCCCAGGTTGGTTTTAGGTTCATCTGGATTTGATTAAAGTCTTGGGTAGAATTTTGTAAGAAACTATCTCATGGAGGAGATCCTATTGTGAGCATTGTCCGTGAAGTTGAGTTCTAGATTCGGGTTACTATCCCTCAAGTTAACAAAATCTTAATGTAATGCGTAGAAAGCTTGGGAGGTGGCACAAGCACCTTTCAAGAATTTGCTAATGATGGGCTTCATGATGTGGATGGCTGGAAATACGGTGCACCTTTTCAGCATTGGTATTACGTTCTCGGCACTTTGGCAACCATTAAGCGCTCTTCAAGGGGTTGGAAAGGGTAAGCGAGCAATATTATGGTTCTACAATTTGTTGCTTCTTTATTAGACCTGTTTTTCCTAGTTATATAATTTATTGGAATTACTCTGGTGACTTATATATCTTTGTCTCCCAACTCAGTTTTAGAGATGTCAAAGAAACATGGTTGTGTATGTTTGAATTCATCTGAAGTCAATGTAGTTAGTTACAAAGCTTGTTTTGTGTTTTTCTCGACACAAATCCTAGTTGTTTACTTTGGAATTGTGCTCAGATCAAATGAAATGTTACCTTGTTTAGTTGTTATCATGATGATAATCTCTAGTAATCAAGCTTGAAAGCGCTTGTAATATCTTACTATCTCTTTATGAGGTTAACCTTTTCCCCCCTTCTGTCTACAGTCTTTGAGCCATACAAGGACAACAAAGTTGACCTCCTTGCGCCTAAGTTAGTATTCATTGCCCTAAATTTAGGGGCTATGATTCTGGGTGTTTGGAAGGTGAGACATGTTTCTAGCCAATTGGCTTGTAAAAATGCAAATGTGTTCCTGTTTGATGCTAACACTGCCATACTGAGACTCTTTTTTGTCATGGCAGCTTAACACATTGGGTCTTCTGCCAACACATGCATCGGATTGGGTTTCTTCTCTACCGCCTGCTCAGGTTCAATTCTCATCCCAATTGTTTCATTTGCAAACTCTATATAAGCTTATATAGAACGGAAAAGAACTTGAAAGCCAACTTAAAAATCTTGTTTTTTCTTTCAATGCGACAGCTTTCACTAAGTAGGCCCCTTCTTGTTGAATTGTTACCCTTGTGTACATATACCCAGCTATCCGAGCAGTCATTTTAGGATACGAGTTCAGATACAAACACACTTGAATGCAGGTGTTGTTTAAGAATACGTTCCCAGTACATGGCTTTCACAGACATATTATTCTGTGGCTGTTCACCGACGAGTGACATAAGAATATGTAGTGAATAGCTATGTTATGTTGACCTATTATCAGCATATGAATTGTCCTCAACCTTCATTGATTACACACTCGTGAATATATACACAGGAACACCATTTGAGGGCGAGTTAATGAGGATAAAACTTATAAATTCCACTAGTTATGAATTGATTTTGATGCAAATTCGCGAGCATGAATCGACAATTAACATGAAAAAAAGTTAAATTCCATGCCTGTTGAGGCTAGAAGCTAGTCATGCTGCCATCATCGACTTGTTGGTTCTTGGAGAATATTAATATTTCTTGTGTTCTTGTCTTTACTAATGGATGTCTAATTTGCAGGAGGTTGAATACTCTGGTGGAGGCATTGCATTCCATTGACCTCTTTCCACTCTGAAGACGGGCCTCTAATCAGCAAGAAAGAACTTTGGACGTTACATTGTGGTACCCAAAATTTGAGCCCGGTGTTTTGATCAAACCAGACAACATTCTATCCCGGTCGTGTTAGTTCTTACAATGTTGGCAGTAATCGCAGGGTAATATGTCTGAGATGTTACTCTTTTGGACATGAAATCGCTGCAGTTGATACGTTTTTGTTACTTCATTTAGAGTTATTTGGAAGTATAAACATACATTTACAATTTTATCAGTTTGTCACCTCCAAACAGGCAAATCAACTAACAACCTGCCATCTCTTTCCCTAGCTCACTCCACTGTCCAATCCCCTGTCATTGTCGGTCATCGCTGTCCAACTGACCTTTGGTTTCTCACTCAGTCGTCCTCGTTGATTGTCATTGGTGTCTTTGAGCTCAATCGAACGCCTTTTACGATTCAGGTTTAGCTCGTCTATGTTGGAGCTAAAGAAAGAAAAAGTAATAGCTGGGGATGCATCGAGCGAAGAGTGAGGCAGAGCATAGCTCTAGAAGTGATAAGAAACAGAGTCCGGTAATGAAATCAACAATCTAGACTACAACGTAAGCCGAATAAAGAGAATAAAGGAACACTACGAAACGCCAGAGGAAAAAGAGCTGCTCTTGCATACTGACTGAAAATAATTGAAGACAAACGTAATTCCGCCATTGAGTTTTAGCCCCAAAACTGCGATAGTAGCCAAATAACCGGAATCCTTTTAGGCTTGCCGGTTCAACCCCATGTTCCGGTTGAACCAATTGAGTAATAATTCCTTCCTTCGAACTACTACGGCACCGTTTCTGGAAAAAAAGGGAAAGAAAAGAATACAATGGGGAAAAAACGCGGCCACTTTAGCCCAGACCTTTTCACTTGAGAAGCAGCCTCCGACGTCGCCTCTTTTCAGGGAGCGAAGAGCAGCGGAGAGGAGAAACAACGGCGACTGTTGTGCGAAAGACCGACGGCTAACGTCTGAACGTTGGGGACGGACTGAACAAACCTCCTGAGAGGTTCCAGAAGCGAGACAATCAGACGTCTGAAGTTTTTGTAGGCTACTGCCGTGTGCTGTCAAGCAATGGGGAAGAGAAGTGGGAGCCAAAAGAAAGATGGTGGGAAACCGAAGAGTAGTTCCCGCCTTAAGTATGCTAATCCAGAAGACATGGACGATGAGATTGATGTGTGTAAGTATGGCTAGTCTAGTTGCAGTTCATGTACCTGTAGTTTCTTTTATTTGTTATGCTTGTCTTGAACTGGTTCTCATTGTACATGTAATTTGGGCGGAGGTTGGGAATAGGGTTCATATTTTATAGGTTGCTGCCACATTCATGACTTAAAATTTTGTTCCTAACACCAAAACTTTGTGGAGTTATTGTGAAGTATATTGATATGAAGAGTGGCTTGATTATGCATTCTACCTTTGAGGAAATGTAATGAACTTTTGTATCTTTCTTCTGTATGTTCAAAATCAGTTCACAAGCAGCGAGAAATTGTTCCACTCGATTTGAATGGCGATTTCGGAGAATCTAGTGATGAAGAACATCCAGTTTTGTAAGATATTGCACATTGTTCAATGAGCTAAACCTATTGTCAGTGAACTAGGCTTTTTATTGGTAGGTTGATTCTTTTTGCAGCCCCAATCAAGTGATGAGGAGGAGCTGCAAGAAGAGGAGGACGAGGTTAAAAGACAGCAAGAGTTAAAAGCAAAATCATTATCAATGTCAGACTTTGGTCTTGAAGACGAGGACGGAGATGAGAGTGACCAAGAATTATCATTAGAGGTAGGTTTCGTCTCTTGCTCTCATGTTGTCAAGACATGTGTATTCTTTTCCTTTAATCTAGAATTAATCACATTTAACCTGGTTTCCCTATAGCAAATTAAAGCTGGAGTAAAACCCTTGGGCAAAGCTCGTTCAGCTGAAGAATCTCCTGATCTTAAGGAGACGAATAAGGATTTGAGGGCTTTATCTCGGGAAGAGCAAATGAATGCTGTATATAGGTATTGATTTATCTTTTCTTCTCTTTTTGCCTCCATTTTTTAAATCATAGCTAGAGAATGGAAGCAAGGAAACGAGACTGCAGAAGCTTCTCCTTGAATTGGCAGTTGACATCAACCTGTTCTGAGATTATATAATGTATTCTCTTCTTGCATTTTTTGAGATCACCCTGAATTAGTTGAAGCAACAATGTGTAGGGAGAAGAAGATACTGTGATATTTTCTCCAATGAAATCGACTTGAGCTTGCAATAAAAAATTGACATATTCTTTGATCAGAAAATTAGTTAGGACTCAAAACGGAATTGTAAAGCATACGGCTCAAAACAGAAGATGATGGGTCCTTTGAATTATAGATGCTGGTTTTCATCAGTTCTATATAGTTCAACTCACACTTGAAAGCATGGATCGCACATTGTACTATAGATCCAATTCCAACAAGTTCCGCACCGTTATACTTTTAATGTTGTCATACTTAAATCTTCTTGTATATCCTGTAAAAGAATATCCTCTTATATACAATTATCAGCGGGAAATAAAATCATCTAGCAGATGGCTGCCTCTCTGCATGAGGGACCAGCAATAAGCTTTGAAATTAATCAATTATATCCAGATTCTTCTATACTGTTTTGAATGTTTTTTCCCAAGAAGTGGTATCCATTTTCCTGAATCACGTGCTTTGCATTACTCGACCCGTTGGTTACTTTGCATTACAGTTCTGCTCCAGAATTAGTTGGGTTGCTGTGTGAGTTGAATGATGCACTGGAACAGCTTGAAACTAGAATCAACCCAGTTCTAAGCAAGGTACCAATGTGTCTTTTGTTTACGTTTTAATCTTTAACTTCTTTGCATCTGATATCATTGATTGTGTCCCAGAGAATAGTTTTCCCCCCTTTCCTTTCACACATCACCTTTTGAAGCCACCCTGATTTTGCATGAAAGTGGGTTAATGTTATAAAAAATTTGTGTTTGTGCAGGCTAAAGAAAGTGGTATCCCTGTGGACGGTGGACTTCGATTTTTGGAGGCAAACCAGCTCCTTTTGCTGGCATATTGCCAAGCCATAACATTCTATCTTCTTCTCAAGTCTGAAGGTCGCCAAGCTAATGACCATCCTGTCATTGCCCGCCTTGTTGAGCTCAAGGGCTTATTGGATAAGGTTTTTCATCCTTCATAAAGCTAGACTTGGTTGTTTATTCAAATGTCCCACTAATGAATGGTGTGTCTGTGATGCGCAACTTGTGGCCTGTTGCATTATATTGCATGTCATAATCGGTATGTGATAGTGTGGGCATCAGTGTCTTGCTTTGCAACTCATCCATAATCTACAACAGCTGTTCGAAAGTAGTCGATCCTTTTTATCATGTACCAGGCAAAAAACTTATGCAATTAATAATATGGATGCTCCTCACACAACTAGTATCTTTATTAGCCATTTTCTTACATCCTTGGCGTTTTGTTTTTCTTTGAAAGTCTTTCAGTGAACATACTTCTGTAAAACAGGCTGATGTTTGGAAAAACTGGGAGTGATCAGATGAAAAGAATTAGAGCTATCAGCTATGCTTATCCAATCTGCTAGAATGTTGGTTGAATCAACTTTCCTTAAACATCCCCATTTGTCCAGTAGATTTTAATCTCCTAGCTATGTCTGCTGTGCTCCAATAGATGAAACAACTAGATGGAATCAAAGCTAGAGGAGTTTCTCAACGAAAATATCAGTCCTGAAGCTCTTGGCAAGTTAATGAAAAAGGAGGCTGTATCTTTGTTGGCGGCTGATCTAGCGACAAAGGAGCATGATCTTTCTCTTCTCTCTGCTGATACACGGGAAGTTGCAGAGGTCGATCCAAATTCACATCTCTCTTTTCCTCCCTGAATATTCCAGGTGATTCATGCTCATTTATGTTATTAACAATTGGCATTCTACCTCTACTATCTGTACTGCAGTCACATCAGACAAATGGGCTGGCGAATGGAAACTCATTGAGTGACCATCCAAGGAAAGGAGTGAAAGAAGGAAGGAATAAGCGCAAGGTGAAACATCTTATTTTTCTTCTCCACTGTTATCGCATTGAAACCTCCTTCGTCCATCTCTGCTCTTTTCATTTTTGGTCTGATGATTTGATGTCTATTAAAATCAACAGAATGATAAGGTCTTTTTTTTATTTTTTGAATAAAGATTTCATTCATTCAATCCCGAAAGAGGAAGGGTTTACAGCAAAGGTGCCACAATAGAAAGGACCGAGATCCAATCAGGCGGAAGAGAAAGACAACGAGCATTACGAGCGACCCAATCGGCACATTTGTTCTCACGACGACAGGTGAAAGAAATATGAATCCATCTACACTGAAGGAGCAACTCTTTCACACGAGAGAGAAGAGCAAAGCACCGCCATGGCCAGAGTGATTCATAACAGAATGATAAGGTCGGTGTTGAAAGTACAGAAATGTTGAGAATACGAGCCGCCCTGGAGGAAAAACTTAAGCAAAAGGGGGTCTTCAGCTTTGTTTCTCCCGAGGTGGATAAAGTCAAGAAGAAGAGCAAAAAAGCAAACAGGTGTTTTTGCCTTTATGTCTTTATGAACCACGATGTTTGTTTTCCTGCCGTGATGAAACTATTGACATTGTAACTCAATTTGTCTGGTTTTTGTCTTGAACAGCCACCTCGAAACACGTGATGATTTTGATGATGATGCCATTGATCTCAAAAATGGCCACCATGGAGCAGTTGACAGACCAACAAACTTGTATTCCAAGAAGCTGAAGGTTTGATTTTCTGGCAAACTTTAGTTTGAACAATGAAGTCAATTGCTGATACAACAGAGTCACCGGTGATTGTATTTGTGTGTAACATCATACATTCTTTCCATGCGAACAGGTAATTTCTGGTGACGAAGATATACCCAAGAGAGATGATATTGGGGAGAGGAGGAGGAAACATGAACTTAGAGTATTGGCCACTGCTGGAGTAAGATCCGAGGATAACGCTGGGGATGAAGATGAGTTCGACCACCAGGAACAAGATGGTGACGCATGTCCTGAATCCGAAGAGGAGAGTGATGCAGAAGAATACTCGGGAGATGAGTCTGAAGAAGAAGCTAATGACGTCAAGGATGTGGAACCGGGCGCTGCAAAAGCTGAGAAAAGGTTAGTCTGCGGGCGTGTTTGTTGCTTTCCTTTAGCGTTTATTTAACAAAAATGGTGTATTTTTTTTGAAGTTTCTTGGATGTTAATTGTAACATCCTGAACAATATTGCTTTGCAGAAATGCAGCAGCTCCATCTTTCCCCGAACCAGTTGATGGAAAACGACTCATCACGTATCAGGTACGAACACTGAGACAAATAGACAATTAACTGCCTGTCGCTCCACGTTCGTTTCTGTATGACAGACATTACAAGGGGTAACATTGGCCTTTTTATTCTCTGTAACATTCCTGCAGATGGAGAAGAACAGAGGCCTTACCCGAAAACGAAAGAAGCTGATTAAAAATCCGAGGAAGAAATACAGGGTACGCGCGTCGACAAGTAAACCTCTCTTTTTTTTGCTGCTAGCCTCAATAACTAGCATGTTTACTAGAGAAACCAAACTGACATTATCTGGAAAACGTTCTGCAGGTTAAGCATCAAAGTGCAGAGAAACGGAGGAAAGGGCAAGTGGTTAGTATCAAGAAACCGACCGGGCCTTATGGAGGTGAAGTTTCTGGCATCAACCCTGGAGTCAGCAGAAGCATTCGAATGTGATAAGTAAAAGAGACGGCAGAGGTGATTCAGAGACTGCACATCATCCATGCCTGTGCAGGAGCAAACTATGTATGTTGAATTGTTGATGGCATGATCTGCAATTTTGACTGTTAATAATTAAGTATTAATTAATCCACTTTGATCATATTCTTAATTAAGTAATTAATTAACTCTATTGGTGGTGGGTTAAGGATAAACGTGTGAAATTTGGGGCCAAAGATGTGGCGTAACACAAATTACATACAACAGTACTATTCATACATCAACAATAGAATGAAAAGGAAACCAAAATTGAATTAAGTTCAGGTCGTGATTAATTAGCGGAACAATCGCCGGCGGCCAGCCTTCACCGGCGCATGTTTTCGTCAGAAACTCTAGCGCCGGAACTAGCACTACTAGTACTACCAGAATGGGTCTTGAATCTCCTGAAGAAGCAACCACCGCCAGCCGACTTCCCACCGGCGCCATTGTCGTTTGACTTTCCACAGTTAGTATCTCTATTTTCCATCTTCGCATCATCATTGTCACTGTGCTTAGCAGTAGCAGCGGCTGCTTCCTGGCGGTCAAGCTTCTCCCTGAATATCTTTCTCTGCACGTAAGCTTCCGCCAGCCCACTCGTGCCTATACCCGCCATATATGTGCTAGCTGCCTGCCTGCTGCTGCTCAAAAGATCGATCTCTCGCCGCGTTTCGGAGAAGAGAAACTCGATGGAGGACTGGAGGTTTAACGAGGGAGAGCGTTGCTGGGGAAGAAAAGAAAGGGGTTTTGTGGGAGTTTTTATAGGCGGATGAGATTGCGTAGGAAACAAGCAACGCAGCAACTTCCATTTCCATAGTCCGATGGCTTTTTTCCTTATTGACTTGTCTTTTGGTGCATTTTTTTGCTGAGTATTGTTAGTCCACTTATGTTCTTTTCTACGTTTGAAAATGTGGGGTGGTCGTCTCGTCCCTTTTCCATGCCCTTTCTCGCCCGCTAATTGCTGGGAACCTCGTTAATTAGTTTAGGCATTGAAGATGAAATTGCTTGAGCTGCAAGCATAGCAATTGGAGCCCATGACGTAGGTAAAGATGTGGCAAGCGAGGCAATAAACCCAGAGGGAGCATGGTTGAGTGTCAATAATTACTTTCTTCGCTTTCAAGGTTGTTTTTCGAATCGAAAATGGGGATGCCTCTAAAGCAACACGTGTGAAATCGTGTTAAAATCTTTTAAGTTTGTAGTTTGACTTCATTAGTTCTTGTTTTGGTGGGCGTAAAATGGTTAGAGATTGCTACTTGTTCTTCTATTGACGGGTAGTTCCCATGTTGTGAAAATTGGATTACAGTTCAAGTCGAAAAAGTGAAAGGTTTAGGATTCATTAGTTACCTCTTATTGAACGGCTAGCAAACCATTTAAAAAGCTGGTATTTAAAAAAAAGGGAAACATGTGACATCTCGATGTGAGATTTGTCGATGTAAGATTTTTCGATATGAGTTTTGTTTAAAATGTCACAGAACATATATGATATTATAATAATGCATTTGGTTATTTCTAAAAAATGAAGGAAGAAATAAATGGGTGCGAGGAGGTAAAACAAAACGAATGTTGGGATCATAGACAAAACCATGAAACTTTGGGTATTATTTTGTGAAAGATACAAAATTAGGGGGGGTTTCTGTTAGACCCCATAATTTATCGGGTGATTTGTGAATGCCTTGATCTGGACTCCCTCGTATGATCTCCACGGGAGTGGAAGAATCTCTGTGGAGAGGAGGGGTGACCCCCGTGATCTACACTCTGAATATCAAGTTAGAACGATATAAGAGAATAGTGTACATAAAAAATGTAGAGAGAGAGAGGGATAGGGTTTAGTAAGAAAACCAAGGGTAGTAAAATGTGGAAAGAGAGAGAAGAAGTCTCCTTCTTGGAGGGCTTGAGCCTCCTTATATAGGCCTCTAAGGCTTTCAATGAGGTCAGTGACGTCCTAGGTAGATGCCTAGGGTGAACTGGACGCCTTAGAGTGATCTGGGGGCATTGGGGGGATGCCTTAGGGTGCACGCGTTAGAGAGGTGCCTTAGGCTAGGGCTGCAAACGAGTCGAGTCGAGTAGAGTTTTTGCTTAGCTTGAGCTCAGCCCGTTTATAAATTTTTCAGTTCGAGCTCGGCTCGATTAAAAATAATCCAGCTCGAGCTCGACTCAGTAGAGCTCGGTAAATGCTCATTAACACAGCTTGTCAAGTTGAGTATAAGCTCTGCTCAAGATAAGCTCGATTTGAAATCATTCTTGCGGAAAATTGTGTACACATAAAAATTTTAATGATAAAAAGAACATTAGAAACTATAGATAACAACTAATTTTCATATACATCCGTATTAACAAGATAATGTTCATGTTCAGAAGAGTAATTAATCATTCCACAAGCTCTAAATAGCCCAGCTCGCGAGCTTAGCTCAACAAGCCACCAAGTCAAGCTAACTCACGAGCTTATCAAGCTGAGTATGGTCTAGTTCAAGCTTGGCTCGTTTACTAACGAGCTGGCTCGCGAGCCGACATGTTAACTAACGAGTCAAGTATCGAATGAGTTTTTTCCGATTCGAACGCCGAGTTGCTCGCGAGCGGCTTGGCTCATTTACAGCCCTACCTTAGGGTGGCTTTAAAGGTTGTTTTTTGAATTGAAAATTAGGATTCCTCTAAAGTAATATGTGAATTCTCGTTAAAATCTTCTAAGTTTGTAGTTTGACTTCATTAGTTCTTGTTTTGGTGGACATAAAATGGTTAGAGATTGCTACTTGTTCTTCTATTGACCGTTATTGCCCATGTTGCGAAAATTGGATTACAGTTCCACTCGGGGAAGTGAAAGGTTCAGAATTCATTAGTTAACTCATATTGAACAGCTAACAAACCATTTAAAAAACTAGTATTAAAAAAAGTGAAACATGTGACATCTCGGTGTGAGATTTGTCGATGTAAGATTTTTCAATATGAGTTTTGTTTAAAATGTTACATTACCGATATGATATTATAATGACGCATTTGGTTATTTCTAAAAAATGAAGGAAGAAAAAAAATGGGTGTGAGGAGGTAAAACAAAACGAATGTTGCGATCATAGACAAATCCATGAAACTTTGGGTATTATTTTGTGGAAGATACAAAATTAAGAGAGAGAAGAAGTTCCTTTTTGGAGGGCTTGAGCCTCCTTATATAGGCCTCTAAGGCTTTCGGTGAGGTCGACACCCTAGGTAGACGCCTTAGGTGAACTTGACGCCTTGAGGGGATGCCTTAGGGTAGGACGCCCTAGGGTGCACGCGTTAGAGAGGTGCCTTAGGGTAGGCGTGGGCCCAAGGTAGAATGACCATGTGGGTGGGCTTGGCCCATAGTAGGCAAGTTAATTCTGGTCCCAAACATTTGGCCCTTTACTCCTTGTAGTCCGCAAGAATGGAAGGAGTAGAATAATGCGTTAAAGTGTATTAACTTGCCTTACTTGAGTCTGAAATGTGCTTCTTTGCCCCTTGTGCAACCATTGCATTTGTCCCCTGGTTGGCTTTTGATGTCTTGAGTTAGAGCTCTCAAATCATTTGAGAATTTCCCACTAGCCCATTGTTGAGCGTGCTAATATATAGGCCATAATTACGAGCTTTAGTCGTTAATCTATTGGACCGCAAGATGGGCATAAGCTTGTGTGCGTCTATGAGAGTTTTAACTCAAGACGTCATTTATGTATTGGGGATGCTTCACCTCCTAGGAGGTGGGATCGGGCTTCCACCTCGAGGGGATGCATTTGGCATTAGGGTAGGCGTGAGCCCAAAGTAGAATGTACGTGTCAATCAGCTTGGGCTTGTTGGTGACGTGGGTTTGGGCCCATATCGGACAGGTTAATTCTGGTCCCAATAGTTTCCAAATCCCAAGCTCTTTTACTCACGCCATCGAAGCTTCTTCTTGACCTTCAACACTGCAACTTGCTTCTCGGCGATGAAACCGCCGCAGTGACCTGCCCACGCGCGCCGTCGAAACGACTCTCTCTTTCTTCTCTTCTCTTCCCGCTGCAGTCCCCAGGTCTGTGCCTCCCAGTCGCCGCTATCAAGTTTTCACTTTTCCGTATTCATTTGCCCATCTCTTAATTTTTTGTTATTTCAGTTTCTATGGCGTCAAGCTGCTGAAGTTGGCGTTTTTATCATCATGATCTGCACAAGTTCTGCTCTTTTTCTTCGATTCTTCAGGTTCCCTTTCTCCATATCAGTTTGAGAGCTCGAATTACTTCGATTGATTGCATTTGGCGATTGTTTCTCAGTTTTCTGAAGGTTTAGGGGAGTCTATTTACTCAAAGAACTTTGGCTAAGCTGAACAACAATTAGGCTTAGCAGTTCCCATATTGCTTTTACACTGTGAACGCTGGAAATTCTCACAGTTACGGCACTTGGAATTTCCAACTGCTGTTCTATCTTAAGCCTATGGACTTAAAATTTGGAAGCTTTGGTATTTGTTCTGAATGAAATACATTGGGTGATGGATGGAAGTTTTATTGGTGACCAGGAGCTGAATAATTATTATCGATGATGGCACAACCTTCTGTGATACTTGCGACTGGTAGCTATGATCACACAATCAGGTTCTGGGAAGCAAAGAGCGGTCGATGTTACCGTACAATTCAGGTCCAAGAATCGGTTAGTCTCTTCCTGCACGACTTGAATTGTTGGTCTGGTGATTGTTGCTTCTGCAAGTCCTAGATGGTTCGCTAGGTTTCGAACTTAGCATAATCTCTTGTTAAAAAAAAAAAACAGCGGATAAGTGTTAAAGAATGGGGTGTGGGGTGCTTGCATTTGCTTCTGGTTAAGTAAGCATACATGTCTTAGCGCACACTTTGTTCATCGGTGTAAGAAAAGTGCAATATAGGTGTGATTTTCACTTTCTATGTTTTCACTACTCTCAACTCAAAGTGTGGCTGGAAGCTTTCTCTGCTGGAGCCTTTTACAGGACTTTCTTTTTTCTTTTTGTGTCTCTATTTTCTCGTTGGGTTAGTTCTTCCTTCTGATTCCGAGACTTTCCAATTAACATATTTTCCCCTTTCTCTTCTACCCCATCTCAGTATCTTTTTTCTTTCTTCTAGTCTTTTTTCTTTCTTCACTTCTCTTAACTCAAAGTTGAATGGCATATAAATATTGTAAACCTGCCCTTTGCTTTGTGCTCTGTTAAGCCCACACAACTTTATTGCTTCACACTTGTAACACCTGTTGTATAATAGTGTTGTTTGCTAGACTTCTTGAGTTTTAGCTGTCATTTTTACCAGTAAGTTGTGCGTGACTTTGTCATGATTGATTTGTCTATTTTCCAGCAAGTCAATAGGCTTGAGATAACCCCGGATAAGCGCTATCTGGCTGCAGCTGGGAATCCTCACATTCGGTTATATGATGTCAATTCTAACAGCCCTCAACCAGTAAATATATCCTCTGACCTGTTTCAAAACTTCTTTCTTACAAGATTAAGTTCAATTTTCTCAGATGGATGACTTACTTATCTTGGTACGCCGCAGGTGATGAGTTATGATTCACATACAAATAATGTTATGGCAGTGGGATTTCAATGTGATGGAAACTGGATGTATTCAGGATCGGAAGATGGCACAGTAAAGATTTGGGACTTGAGGTAAAATATGACTGGTATATGCATAATGGGTTTATAATTGAAAGTTACCTATCGTGCTCTAAGTTGTGGTTCTATGTGTACTGAAGGGCTCCAGGTTGTCAGAGGGAATATGAGAGTCGTGCTGCTGTGAACACCGTTGTTTTACACCCAAATCAGGTTTCCTTTCTTTGCTCGTCTTGTTTGACTGAGGAGCTGCTGTAAAATGCCGTTCTGTTTTTGATAAATCCTTTTCTTTTCCAGCTTGTGCATCTCTGTTTAGAATGCTTGTTAGGCTACCTATTTTGCGGTGCTACTTTGCGTGCACACTTGGGTGCCTGTACTTTTAAAGGTCTTGATAGGAATTGTGAACTGGATTTGTACGTGGGTGCTTGTACTTTTAAAGGCCGTGGTGGAAATAGTGAACTGGATTTGTGTGCCAACGTGCTAGGAAAAGCTACCGAGTCACTGCAGAAGAGTAATTAATATGTCAAGGATTTGTTTCACCAGATATCAGGTGCATGAGTTTAGACGATGGTGTACTTTGTCTACTCTATGAAACCCATCATAGTGAAATTACAATGTCACGTTTGTCCTTGATAAATGCCGAGTATGATGCTTTGGGTAGGATCTGAGTTCCATTCAGCATAAGGGAATTCTGTTAGTGCTAAAGCGCGTAACGATTTCTATTTGCAGACAGAACTGATATCTGGAGACCAAAATGGAAACATTCGGGTTTGGGATTTGACAGCTAACTCATGCAGCTGCGAATTGGTATGTTGCCTAATAGGCGACCCCATTCTTTTTATTTATGGGACTATTATTATTACTACTAATAACAATGCTGCCAATACTGAGGTAAAAACAAAGGACCATGAAATCTGATGGCAGTGCATGGGCCGATCAGTTCTATTTGTTTTTGCTAAACAACGAATCATGTTTACAGGTTCCTGAAGTGGATACAGCTGTAAGGTCACTAACAGTTATGTGGGATGGAAGCTTGGTAGTTGCTGCTAACAATCATGGAACCTGCTACGTTTGGCGGTTGTTACGAGGAACCCAAGTAAGTTAGCGAGTTCTTTCGTAAAAACATATTACTGCACTTTTCAGTATGTTACACTATGTCACCTAAAAAATTGCAATATGTTTGGCAGACAATGACCAACTTCGAGCCGCTCCATAAACTACAAGCTCATAATGGATACATCCTCAAATGTCTGTTGTCCCCCGAGTTCTGTGAACCTCACCGGTATCTTCCAAAAAACTTCTTTTGGTTCCTTTCCTATTTCCATCACAATCCAATTCAGAAATGACAGATTAGTTGTTTGTTGAATTGTTTATTTCTCAGGTATCTGGCCACTGCATCATCAGATCATACTGTCAAGATATGGAATGTCGATGGTTTCACGCTAGAGAAGACTTTAACAGGTATTGTATTGGTAAACTGGATTTCAATTGAAATCCATACAAATTGCTTCTGTTGTTGATCAGCTTGTTATTATCATCACATCCTTATCTGTTCGTGCGATTTGCCAGGTCATCAACGCTGGGTCTGGGACTGTGTTTTCTCTGTGGATGGTGCTTACCTTATAACAGGTACCCTAATGCTGAATGAAGTCTGAGGCCTGATTTCTGGCTCGCATATGGTTAAATCGATGCAATGTTTTAGTTTCTTGGGTACCAAATTGACTTATCGTATGACGAAATGCAGCATCTTCTGATTCAACAGCGAGACTCTGGTCAATGTCGACTGGTGAAGACATCAGAGTGTATCAAGGCCATCACAAAGCAACTGTCTGCTGTGCCCTTCATGATGGCGCAGAGCCATCTGCAGCCTAAAACAATTCATCATACCCTGTGTCTTGTCCCCCTGAATCCTTGCAGCGCACCTCTGTTCGATATTAATTGCGACCAACATGTTCATCCGATGCTACACTGATCAGTTCTTTCTGATATGTACATATCTTTCTGCTCTCATGAAACATCCCCTTCAATTAAGCATTGACTACTCATTTTTTTAGGTTTCATATGCAATGCCTCTCGACGAATCCGCTGCACTATTGATTAATGATTCATCTCGTGTCTGGGTTCTTATTCCTGGGACATGAACACGATTGGTTAATTATTCAGCCAGGTCTGCTACTCTGCTCCGGTACTCATTTTGAGAGCCACGTGAATCCTGATGCAATTTAGAACTTGAAATATAATATCATCGTATGTATGGGGAAATTTTAATACAATTAAGGAAAATGATTACTAATTATACACACTTCACTTTTCCTGTCCAGCAAAGCATCGTAATCATGTATGAACACGGGAATTCTAGCTGGCTAGCTAGCTGCTGTTTTAGAACTACAATATAAACTGCAGAAAATGCTCTGATACCTCCACAGTCCACACACAAATCAAACATCTGTAAAAGAAAGCTAAACAGAGTATACGACAATGTCGAATTCCTGCTGCTTCATCGCAACCCAGCTGATCGTATTGTTCCTCCTGGTAATGTATTTCAGGTTTCCCATGACACTCTGTTTCCTATACATCTTGAGATAACATTGATCCACGATCTTATGTGTTATTATTAGATCGCTGCCTGCCGAGACACGAATGCAAGAAAAGATATTGGAGAGTTCAGGAAGAGCGTGGTGAAGGATCAATTGGGCGACGAGCTACTACTAACGACGAAGACGTTTGAAATCTCTCCCGCCAAAACAGAGTATCTTGATGCAGAGCAGCACTCGAGAGTAGAGGAATTCGAGGCGGAGCTGAACCCATTTGCGAAGAACAATCAGGAAGAGAATGAGTTGTTTTCCGATGGTTTCCAGTTGCCGGAGAGCAACAAGGAGGAAAAGGAGTTGTCATCCATGGACTTCAACCCGCCGCCACCCTCTGTTTTTTACAGTATGCTCAACCCATCTACAGAGAAGAATGACGAGGAGGATGATTTGTTTTCCGAGAACTTCCAGCCGCCGCCCAGTTAATGCATCCCCTGGTGCATGTTTGATATGCAATAAGCTCTCAACCCATCTACCGATTGAAGACAATAAGGAGGAGAAATAAACAGTTGTTTTCCAGAATTTCCAGCCGCTACTTTGGTGTAATATTTTGTCTAAATCTATGGATGAGGTGTTTCATATTTTGGGTATGAGACTATACTTTAATTCCTATTGAGTGAATGTTGCGTCCTTATTCTCTAAACTTTAACCTTTAAGCTACGTAATGATGCATTTGGTGTGTTGGATAGATTTCAACCAATCAGAATCGTCAACAGTTGTTTCTAATTAAATTAATCTTAGAGTACTGGATTTAGAGAATTATGACCTAGGTATTACTCATTCAGGTTTATGTTATAGAAACATGCCTTAGACTCCCATTAGTTCAATCTCTATATAACAGTCTTACTCAATGGAGTCAAAAGCGAGATTCTATCTAAAAGCAGAAAAGGGGTAAAATCGAAAAGCGGTGAATCAAAGCGTAAAAGCGTAAGTTTTTTATGCATCATGTATAATAGTTAAAAATCTGTTAAGTACGACATAAACTATGTAAAATATGAGTGCACGGAGTTTAGATAAAAGAATAAATACATGCAATTCATGTCAAAATTAGAACAAACTCATAACATCTTAACAATAATTTCATAAACATAAATCGTAACCCACAAACGAGTTTAGAATCCAAATTCTCACAAACTTGTTTAAGTTTACATAATGACAGTATTGTTTAAGTTCACAAGCTTGTTTAAGTTTACATAATGACAGTTTAGACTCTTACTACCATCATATTTAGAGAACTTTGCTGAAGTATCACATTTACCATTTTGTTTATAACATAAAAAGTAACGTATATCAAATTTTAGATATATAGTTGGGGGCGAACAAACTCTAATTATCTCAATCAAACTATCTCAACAATCTTACCTGTACAATGAAATTTATCTATCCCTAATTTTTACGGATAATTTTCGATCGCATCATATAAACCATGCTTATATTACTTACCTGTAAAATTCAGAAAAAAATAATAAGTTATCAACAATACAATCATTACCATTTCAAACAAAACCATCACCAAAACTAGTATAACTACATATTCTACAATCTCTCTCGTCCAAGGACTCATACTAGTTCAAAGAAGAGGAAAATTTCTTTACCCCAAAATTTCCACAACGACGCCGTTTTAGGATTCGTAATCCCTTTACTGCCCTTCGACAAGAAAACCCACCGAAAATGTTCTGCCCCCGATATCTTCCTCAGTTCTCTTCCGAGTCCGACCCGAAAACCCTCTGCAGTTGCAACCCAAATAATTAAGCCGAAGAAATGGAAGACAAACCGGCGGGCAGTCCAGCGGCGGCGACGCCAGGAGCAGAGGCGCCGGCGTCCGCGGATCCACCATCGTCGCGGCGCCGAGCTGGAGGGCTGAAAAGGAAGGCCAGCTCGCTGTCAACCTCCACCTCTTCCTCCTCCACTCCTTCAAAGCGGATGACCCGAGAGAAAGCGGCGATGTCGCTCTCACAGGCTCAAATTCACAATGGCCCCTTCACTAGGGCATCCCGGCACGGCCCCAGCACCTTCGGCCCGTCCTCCGAGGGCCGTGGGGCTGCTGGCGGAGTGAAGCTCGAGGAGAAGGAAAGGGCCGGTTTGGCGGCGGCGATGGCGGATGCTGCGGAGGAGGAGGAGCGGAACAGATTGGAGGAGTTGGGGAAGAAGATTGAGGCGGAGTTTGAAGCTGTTAGATCTCGGGATTCTAATGCGCATGTGGTGCCCAATCACTGCGGTGAGTGTTTGAGATGTTGAGGTTGGTTCAGAATTTTTTGTAACAAGTTCTTACTTTTCTACTTGGGTCTACTCGGCAATTTCATCCTCCCTTTATGAATTTCCCAGTGTTTTCATTTGGAGGAAAATGCTACTCCATTTTAGTGACTGACTGATAGAATGGCCAAATTCTTGAATTTTGCTTTCATTTGATGTGAATCTAGCCTACTTTCTCATTATCTAACGAGAACTAGTATTGTGTTTAACTTGAGCTTATGCTGGTGTCAGTTTAAACTCTTATTATCTTTCCTTCTGTGAATGTGCTCTGAGAAAACGTTTGGTGAACTTAAGAATCATTTGTTTGTTAGGTAATTGTATGTGATTTTAAACAGAGAAATTTACATTGTGAAATGCAAGGCGGAGTACTGTAATTCTTGGTGGTTCAGATTAATCTTAGTTATGTGCTGTTCTTGGTAATAGGGTGGTTTTCATGGTCAAAAGTTCACCCTCTTGAGGAACGTGCATTGCCTATGTTCTTCAATGGGAAGTCTCCTGATCGAACTCCTGCTACATACATGGAGATACGCAATTGGATTGTGCAGAAGTTTCATACGAACCCAAATGAACAAATTGAGTTGAAAGATCTATCAGATCTTGAAGTCGCAGACTTGGAGGCAAGGCAGGATGTGTTAGAGTTCTTGGACTACTGGGGATTGATTAATTTCCACCCTTTCCCACCAATGGCAGATACTTCTGAAAATTCTGAGGGTGTAGAAACAGCACCTAATGATTTATTGCTTGAGAAGTTATTCCGGTTTGGACCAGTTCCCTCGTGCACAGAAGTTGCTCCCAAGCTGAGCTCCACTACTACATCTATGTCATCTGGATTGTTTCCAGATTCTACAACTGCGGAAGAGTTGCTCTGGCCTGAGGGACCATCAGTGGAGTACCACTGTAATTCTTGCTCAGCTGATTGCTCTCGCAAGCGCTACCACTGTCAGAAGCAGGTTAGTTAAAATACCTTCAGAATGCTTTGGCTTAACTGAATCTCCATCTTTCTGCCATGGTTTATGATTGCCGCTTGTCTACTTAACTAACTTAAGTATAGTACATATTCAGAATTTAGGAAGTACTGATTAACCCTGTCCTTTTATGACAGATCCCTCTATTCCAAGCTGTTTTAGAGGCTGAGACCTAGCTGTCATCATTGGTATGACAATGAATGTCGACATAAAGCTTTTTGAGTCTTTGTTGTTGCAATAGTGACAGAACTTGCAAGTTTGAATACTAGCATAAGATATGAGATAGTAGGCCCTAACTTCAATATTCATTAAGAATGGTAGTGCCTGTATGAATTCCACCAATGAGTTTGATGGGAATTAGTTTCTCGATCTTGCCGAGTTGTCTAAAATTGTTAGTCACCGGAGTTGTGTCCACCAATTTGGTAATTACAGTTATTTTGACCCCAAAAGGCATAGGAGCATTTGGGGCGTATAGGTTTGACACCTGTATGTGACTTTTCAGTCGTAGATCCTTTGTTTGGTGTTAGTGAAGCAGACTATTTGGAGTCTGCAGTTGTTTTATTGGCAATTCGTTTTTATTAACAATACACTCATTTCATTTATACTACCTTCTTTCTAAATTTTCATCTGTATGAACAGGCTGATTATGATTTGTGTTCCGATTGCTTTAAAAATGGGAAGTTTGACCCGGACATGTCGTCCTCAGATTTTATTGTCATGGAACCTGCTGAGGCTCCTGGGCTTAATGGAGGAAAGTGGACAGATCAAGAGACCCTGCTTCTTCTCGAGGCATTGGAAATTTATAAAGAGAACTGGAATGAGATTGCAGAGCATGTTGCAACAAAGACAAAGGCTCAGTGTATCTTGCACTTTGTTCAAATGCCAATTGAGGATGCTTTTTTGGATTCCAATGATGTGGAGGACAGCGCGAAGGAAATAGCTGACACGAGTGCAACAAATGAAACTGCTCCTGAAACAAGCGATGTTAAAACTGGTTCAAAAGAGGAGCAGAGTCAGACATCTCCTATGGAGACTTCAAACCCAGAAGCTACCAATGAAGTGAAAGACATTTCTGAGAATGGCAACGAAGGAAAGGAAGCCCCTCAAGTTTCAAAATCGGAGGCTGATGAAGGGAAAACAATCTCAGAAACTCCAAAACCAGATGCTGGTGAAGGAAAAGCTAGTGAAGAAGATGTTGCACTGAGAGCTCTAACGGAAGCATTTGAGGCTGTTGGTTATGCATCTAGTCCTGGTTTATCGTTTGCTGAAGTCGGAAATCCAGTCATGGCTATGGTGAGTTCAAAATAAATAGAAGAGAAACAGTCATTGGTTGGCTGTAACCAAAGAACTAGTATCTTCTGTCCATACAATGTGGTAGTTACTTGCAGCATGTCTTGGCCAAGTTCTCACTGCACTCAATCATCTCATCTATCCAATTTGCACCATATCTCTGTTTGTTTGTCCTTTTGCTTCACATTAGTGAGACCAAATCCTGAGCTTTGATTACTTTATTTAATAATTAATATCTAATGTAGAACTTTTGTTTTATAGGCAATATTTTTTGTCAGATTGGTTGGAGGGGATGTTGCTTCAGCTTCTGCTCGCATTTCTCTAAAATCATTGTCAAGCAGTTCTCCCGGACTGCAGCTCGCAGCACGGCATTGCTTTCTTTTGGAAGATCCACCAGATACCAAAATGGTACAAGGAGATGGTGATGGGTAAGTAAACCCTATTATTTCTCTTTTAAATTTAGTTTTGCCATTTGTAGGTTGTTTTTTGTGTCATTAATATGGAGTTTTGCAGTGATGTGAAAGAGAAGACTGAACAGAACCATGCTCCCATTGGAAACCAGGATGATAAGGAGCCAGCAAATACTCCTACTTTAGATCCAGATTTTTTGGTAACAGCAAGTGAACCAGATAATGATAAAAACAAGGGTTCTTCTACAGATGAAAACAAATTGGTGGATTCTCCAAATGATGAATCCAATGAAAAGGAAAAGACTACAGAAGAAGTAGGTCTTGGAGACTGTAAAGAGGCGGGTGAAACTCACGTGTCAAGTGAACTAGGTAATTCGGACCAACCACTCGGCACCGAGGAGGAATTGCAACCTAAGTCGGAATCCCCTGCAGAGTCTGTGAAGAAGCAAGAATCCTCTCCAGAGCCCGTGAAGGAGCAACAGAAAGGATCTTCTGCTGCTGATCATTCTCAGGATAAAGAGATGGGTGACAATGTAGAGATGGTGTCTGATGCAGAGAAAAATGAACCATCTTCTACATCACTGGCTGGTGAAGTCCTTGATCAAGCTGCTACTGTGGTTTCAAAAAATGTAGAAGGCACTGTGTCAGATGCTATTCCCATGGATAAAGATGAGAAGCAGGAGCAAGTGAAACCGAGTTTGACAGTTGAAGATAAAGTTCAACCTGATGATATTGACATGCCATCTTCTCAACCTTCTGAAGGAAAGGATGATGAGAAACCTGAAGGGAAGGATGATCAGAAACCAATCTCTACAAGCATAGTTAT